CTGACCACGTGGCAAGACGTTGGGAAAAGGTCACAGATCCGATGCGATGCGAGAAGAAAAGCGAGTAAGGGATGAGTGTTCTGCCTCCTTTTGTTCTCTTTGCCTTGAGTGAGACAGTGCCCCGTTCCTTTCCAAACTCATGCGTGGGTGCTTCGCCTTGCCTTGGAGCTGGTCTATGTGGCTTGGCCGAAGCGACCTTTAGTGCGAACGAGAAGTTGAAGAGCGGGTCACTGATTCACCGCGACGCGAGATACGATTGGGAAAAACATGAAACAGGTCGCTGGGATGATGACAATCTGTGCTACACCTTGGGATATTTTTGGGCATGTCTATGTATGTAGCCTCCACGAGTGAGTCATGTTCGGCTGTTGGCGCAAGTCGGATTGAGTCACTTGGGAGTGAAGCAACACTTGGATGAAATGTGTGGGTATCATGCTCTTTGGTCTACTCTACAAGCTGACTCTAGGTTTCTACGACTATGGGTGAGCTTACACGTGTATGTGGATGTGCTTAGGTAGAGAGGCTAAGGTCAAAGTTGATGTGACTGACCGATGTACCGGAAGCTATTATGAACTTAGCTGTCATTGCTCGGGTCGCGGTGAGCCCCCAAGCACCTATTTGTGGCGGAGTTATCGTGATCCCTAGGTCACGAGTTGGTGAGGGTGCTTCTTTATCGGTTGCAGCAGTCGTAGCCAGCGTTGGTCGACCTCTCGGGTGGCCTTGGGTCGATCCTTGCTGGCTCATCGTCCTCAGCGGGCTCGTGAGCCCCCAGGGATGGCTTCTTCGTATCCGGCCTATTGAAGTCCACGGCTAGGAGGGCTTGTGCGTGTTGGTGCACGAGCCTTCATGGCACAACGACGTCGCAGTCATCATGTCTCTGTTTCCGGACGTGGTTGCCGCTCTTGACGAAGAGCTGGCGTGACCTGTCACTGCGGAAGCGGGTTCTGAAGGCGACATAGTTTAGTCCGCTCGGCGTGGCACGTTGTGCGCTCAGGGGGCCCCGCTTCCTTAGATGAACCTGCCTCCATGTGAAAGTTGATAGTTCATGATGCCGTGACGGACGACTGATCCATCACATGGGACGGGACCCTAGTTCCGGGCTTGGCCTTGCAAGGCATGGCGCGTGGGTAGCCATTTGATCACTAACAATGTTGCCGCATGGTGGCGGGTGATTTCGTCACTCGCGTGCACCCTGACTCGCTACATTTCACTGGTGGTGGAGGCGCTTCTCGAGGCGTGACCCTGCCATCGGATCCAGGCCTCCCACATGGTGGGCCTAGATGGGGTAGAGGCCGGTGACAGGTGTTAACCTATCGGTGAGGACGATCTCCTGATTTCCCAAAAGGATGTGGCCGCCGGGGGCCATTCCATAGGTGAGCTTGCCATGATCCATTGGCCTCTAGTTTCCTAGGCGGAAGACCTAGCCATGGCCGGTGATGAGAGAGGGTACTGGCCTCCCTATGTAGGTGAACTCTGGGATGCTACCGCTGAGGGAAGTTCTGAGAGTGTGTCCACCATAGGCCATGGGGTCCGGAGCTCCTAGATGGAGGTATGGGCCATGGCTAAAGGTGGACGTGGTGCTGGCCCTTTGACGCCGGTGAACTTGTGGTTTTCTTGATGGATGTGGCCACCGTGGGCCATTCCATGAGCGAATCCACCGACGATGTGAGAAACCATTGCTTCCTTCTCAACAAACGAGAGTGCGTGACTCTCCCCTGCCTGGCGCACCAATTGTCGGTGTTTTGTAAACCGGACTAGTGAATTTATACGATTGCCGCGCTGCTCTAGGAAGACGATGGTAGCATCCAAAAGACACGATGATTTATACTGGTTCAGGCCGGAGCCCTACGTCCAGTCTCAGAGATAATCGAGTGCGTGTTTCTCGCTTGAATGCTCTGAAGTTCTTACAATGGGGGTACAAGAATGGTGGAAGAGGTAGGAGAGCTAGAGCTAAAAGATGAACTGCCTTTATGGAAGCCTCAGGAGTCTGGAGGTTGTGAAGATGATGAAGAGATGCCTGGAAGGGTGCCCTGGCTGCCCTTATATAGAGTCTAGGGCTATGTTACAAAGGAGGAGGTTTTCCGACCGAGAAGGGTTGTGAGCCTGAGGGAGGAGGCCTAGATAACTTAGCTTGCAAGCAACACCGTCTTGTGGTGTACACCTTGGCGTGGCTATCATCATGGTCTTGGGCTCACGTCATGGCATGGCGTGATGTGGTGCCACAGTGCCCGTCATGGTGGTAGTGTGGGCACAGCGGTGTTTCACCAACCATCCTGCGTGACGTGGTCTCGCTATGGTCTTCGCCATCGCCTCCTAATCGTCCGAGGGAGTTGTACAAGAGTAGGTAGCAGCCCTCGGATCATCGATCATCTTGCTGCTTGTGGAGTTGGTGGCCACGATCCCAAGCTCTGAGGTCGTGGCCTGTGTTGGTTTGGATGGCCTCTAAGTCAAGGCCATCGTCGTGGATCCCATCCCGTTGTGGGTGGGATCATACATACATCTTGTCGGGCCGTATTTGGACGGTGGTTCTCCGTACTTGCCGTCACCGCTTGGTAGTGTTGTCTTTTCTCTATTGCATGACGCAGGGATGTCGTCTGATTGGACCGAGGTGACCGTTGTCACCTCTGTCCTTGCGGAGTCAGTGCGCCGTGCCTGCTCTTGTCATAGCAGGCACGGTTGGCTAGACTCGATCTCTCCCCATTCCTCCCAAGGGCCGGGACGGTGGAGTGGTCGTGAGTCCTCGTGCGGCATGTGGCTGAGGCAGATGGAGGGGTCGTGGCGACCCCGACCTTAGCGTTCGGCCTGGTCCGCTTAGCTTAGCTGGATCTCGATCGTTTGGCCTTATACTGGTTGGCGTACTGTGGGCCGCCCGAGCGGCTATTTAATCGGTGTCTTGAGATACCCAGGGTATCATAACCCCGACACAACCTCAGCCGAGTACTCTATTCTTCGGTGCTGCCCGAGCCTTTTTTCTGGTGCCACCTCCTCTAGGGGCATCAGACTTATCCGGTGGCAACTGAAAACCTCCACCGAGCTCTGTTTCAATACTACATTTCACATGGCTAACTCCCAATGGTGTCTTGCAAGACCACCAACACCTTTAACACCGAGTTAGCATTTTCAAAGATTTTGCTCTTGCTTCCTTTTCACACCACTTATCTAAATGCAATGCGAGTTAAATCTCACCTAGTGGAACTAGATAACCATTTATCTCACAAGGAAGCTTCCCTTGATAGTACTTCTATCTATACTAAACCTGATCAAGCACTTCTCTGCCCAACCTTAAAAAGAAATTCCCCTTCGTCCTTCCTGGCACCCTCTGCAATCATGTATAATCTTGAAAACAATAGATCAAAGGAATAAAACATTCATTCTCTTAGTCTTGTATCTTTTGGTTTACATTCACGTATTCTAATCATCCGGTAACCACAGGATGATCCCAATCACTTTTTAGTTATAGATCTTTTTGCCTCCGCGGCCACGAAGAAAGAAAATGCATCGAGTCGTTTATCAAGAAAGTGGACGAGCTGTGGATCAAGATCTTATTTAGTCTAACAAAACCTTAAAGCTACTCTAGGTTCATATTTACCAATAACACGATGCAACTAGTTTTTTTTTAAGTTTGCAGGAGCACTGCATATCGCAACTAAGCATTAGGTGGAAGGTGGTGAGGGTATTGCACGAACATGCGGGTCCCATTGTCACTTGCTCATTCGATTCGGTGTTTCGGCGGCCCCGCGAGTCACCTGTGATCTCCGAAAGCGACGAAACGTTCCGTCACCGCGTCACGAGACGTCCCCGCCCTCATTCCTATTCCCGGGCCCCTCCTCCGAGCATCTCCACCGTCCGCTCCGCCCGCAGGACCCCTCGAGGAACCGTCCACGCGTCGGCAGCGCCCAACTGTCGGCAGCCGCGGCCGCCCCCGCGCGCACGCGTCGTCCGCGTGGCCGGCGGGACGGCGCGGGCCGGGTCCACGTGCGTCGCCGGGAGGCTTATCTGGCGGCGACACGTCCGCCGGCGTGCAACGTGCGGGACTCGCCTCGCGCGGGCAGCTTTGCCGGCCGCCAATGGCGTCGTTGTCTCGCCGCCCCCCTCCACTTGGAGATCAAGCGCATCGGCGCGGTAATCCGGTCGATTAAGGGCCCGTTCGGTTAGGGGTGGTTCTTGAAAATAGTTATCGGTGAACGCAGCTATATAAATTACAGAAGGAATTTCGGTTGAAATGATTCCAGGCCACCAAAACCTGGGAACCGAACGCAGCCTAAAGCGTGCAATTTGTGCAAGTGCTCTCACGCGTCGCTGTCTCATGGAAATCACGAAAACCGGCCAAATAACCACTATTCTGCCCGGAGATAAGCGTAGAGGAGCTGTATAGGTTACACACTGACACGGTGGCGGGCTGTTCTGCGCTCTGAATCGATTCTGGCACTGTTTCAAGGGAAAGTTTGAGAAGCCACGCCAAAATGATGTCAGCGTGTGCCACCACGCCACGTACCCGCACGCCGGCAGACGAGCTGGAGAACGCGCGCGCCGGGTGGCTGGCGATCCTTAGTTTTACCGCCACTTCCGGCCGTATTACTCTGCTACCAAGTATTCAAATGCGTGCTTTGTACTGAAAGCGTTAGCCATGATCGATGGAATCCGGCCGTGTCGTGCCGACCTCGCATGAATTCGCGATCAAGCAAACGCGACGAGTAAGCTTAGCCGGCGGCTCCGCTAGCAGCCCGGAGCGCACCCAGCACTGTGCTGCGCTCCGTGTCCGCGTGCGTGCGCTGCAGTGCTCCCTACTCTGTTCTTGATAAGACGATCACGACACCACGTTGCGCCCTAAAGCAGCAGCCCTAGTAGTCGCCTAGTCTGCGAGTCAGTCTCACATCACGCCGCGACGGGAGTGGATTGGACTCCTCTTCTTCTTCTTCCACTTCTCGGCTCGGGTCCGCGATCGAGATCGTCGTGCCCGTGCCCGTGTCCGTGCGGCTTCTTTCGGTCGATAACTCACGATGCACCAGATTGGGAGCGGCATGTACGTGTCCGGCCCCGCGCCGGACAGGAAGCGGGAGCGGCGGCTGTCGTCGGGGTCGGCCGCCACGCCGCCGTACACGGGCGGGGACGTGGCGCGCTCGGGCGAGCTCGGCCGGATGTTCGACATCGCCGCGTCCCAGTCGCAGTCGCAGGCGCCGTCGCCGGCCTCCTCGCGCCGCAGCTCGGGCCCGCTGCACCGGCCCTCGCCGTCGCCGGCGTCGGGCCCGCTGTCGCAGCTCTCGCACCCGCCGGGGCTCCTCGTCGGGCCGTCCCCGTCCCCCGCGCCCTGGCCGTCGCCGGCGGTCGGGTCGTCGTCGTCGTCGTCGAGGAAGGGGAGCAGCAGGAGGAAGGAGGCGGGGACGGCCGTGGAGGCGCCGGCGCGCGGGAGGGCGAGGCTCGGCGTCCCGTTCGCGTGCTACGTGCTGGTGGCCGTGGCGGCCGCGGCCGCCGTCGGCGCCGGGGCCTTCTGCCTCGTGTCGTGGCACCGGTGGGAGGTCCTCGCCGCGGCGGGCGGCGCCGTGGCCGCCGTCGCGGCCGTGTTCGCGTCGAACGCGTGGCGGACGGCGGCCGAGGCGGAGAGGTTCTTCCGCCGGTTCCCCGACACGGTGTTCGATGAACATGGCGGGGACATGCCCGTCGGCGAGCTCGTCAAGATCACCGGGGTGAGCTCTGCTTCAGCTTCAATCAATCTCGGAATCAAAACCAATCATCTATTTCCTTCCATCCTCGCTTCACTGTTACCAAATCCGTTTCCTGGCGTACGTACGACTCTGTTGTCGCTAACAATTGCATCGGTATTCTCCCAGTCCATGCATGCCAACTACTAGTTGTAAAAAAATTGTATTCTGTGCCGAACGTGGCTAAGATCCTGTATAAGTTCCTGACTTTTTTTTTGGCCGGTCAAAATTGTTGCTTCAACTCGTTTATGCGTCAAAGAATGTCAATCAAAACTGATGATTAGTCTCATGTATGGTCAATGGCTTTGATTGAAGAAGCCAAGCTACCAAACCACTTTTGCTTCACCAAAGCAATGCATGCGTTGCTTTAACTTGTTACTTCACCAAAGCAGAGGCTAGAGACTCTAATCTGCTTGGCATGCTCTGTTCTAACATGACAGCCGTGTCTTGCTTCCTGCAGCAAGTTACCTGCGGTCGCCACCCGCTGGGCGCCAATTTCCACAACGCCGCCCGATGCGTGTTCACGTCTGTTGAGCTGTACGAACGCCGTCGGTGGGGCTGGTGCTGCGGATGCCGCCGCCGGTGGCAACTCAGACACTCCGAGGTCAACTCTCGTTATTACTGGCACCTGATGGATATGGTTCGCAGTTAAGTGATGTGGCAACTGATGTCTGTTTTGTTGGCATCGCTTTGGCAGGCACGGGTGACGAACTTCTACATCTCTGACAGTAACTCGGGAAAGAGATTCTACGTGCGTGCCGGCGAAGGCGCCGTGATCACTCCGATGATCAAATACAAAACCATCAGCTTTGACAGCGACAAGAAGGGCGCCTCACAAAACTTGAAGAACTGGATGGCAACCAACGAGTTATCTTGCAACGGAGATTTGCGTGTTAAGGAAGGGTAAGATCTTCACACAAATTTAGGTGAAGAATTGAAAAGATAATATACCCTAACTGCTATACCTCTGTTCCTCCCCTATCCTGATAGTAGTTTCCAATATTTATCTTTTTCTAACTGGTATCCCTCTCTTCCCATACCCTGCTGGTAGTTTCCAATATTTGTAGTATTGAATTTTTTTCCCAAGTTTGCACTAGTAAAGTTTAAGCAATTTGGAGGTTAAGTGGCTTGACACAAATTTAGGTGAACAAATTGAGAAGTCCATATACCCTGCAAACTGTATAATCTCTGTCTGTCTACCTAATCATTTGTCTGCGCCTCCCCTATCTCCCGGGTTCATATTAATTGAAGTTTATATCTCTGTCTAATCATTTCTCTGTTCCTCACCTATCTCCCACGTTTGCACTAGTATTAGTTTACCCCTCTGTCAGTTTTGAGGTTAAGTGGCACAAGTTGATCAGCCACTATGGTTTGAGTCAGCCTATCACAATTTACAGCTGCCAAACACATAAACTGTACTCGGGTTGTCAGTTTCTTGCGTTGATCACAAATTCACAATATATAGGTAGAAAGCCAAAATTGGTTTGCTCAAATATCCTACTAAACTTTGTACAATCATTTGTAATTATTTCAAGTTGGTCCCTTGATCTCCAGTTTTCCATTGTTCTCTATAGAACTTGCGACCTAGTAGAAGGGAAATTTATAGATGAGAGAAGTCGAGACCTGTATGTCATAGTAATGATGTGACACTCCAATATTTGCACTACTGAATTTTTTTCCCAAGTTTGTACTAGTAGAAGTTTACCTCTCTTGCAATTTGGAGGTCAAGTGGCTTGACACATATTTAGGTGAACAAATTGAGAAGTCCATATACCCTGCAAACTGTATAATCTCTGTCTGTCTACCTAATCATTCCTCTGCGCCTCCCCTATCTTCCGAGTTCACATTAATTGAAGTTTATCTCTCTGTCTAATCATTTCTCTGTTCCTCACCTATCTCCCACGTATGCACTAGTATTAGTTTACCCCTCTGTCAGTTTTGAGGTTAAGTGGCACAAGTGGATCAGCCACTATGGTTTGTGTCAACCTATAACAATTTAGGCCCCGTTTGGCAGGGCTTCTCCATCCGGCTTCAGGAACCGTTTGGAGCCGTTTTCTATCAAACGGGGTAAAGTAAAATAGCTTCACTTGTGAAGCCCTTAAAAACATGCTCTCACAGTGATTTGGGGTGGGATGGAGCCAAAAAAAGTGGCTTCTCCCAGCTCCTCCTCCAGGCCCCTAAAAACATGCTCTCACAGGGAAGCCATTTTGCCAAATGGTTTACCAAAACCGCTTTTAGCTCCACCGGTGGAACTGTTCGTGGAGCTGAAACAAAAAAAAATGGCTTCACTAGTGAAGTGAAGCCCTGCCAAACGGGGCCTTAGAGCTACCAAACACATAAACTGTACTCGGGTTGTCAGTTTCTTGCGGATCACAAATTCACAATATATTGGTAGAAAGACAAAATTGGTTTGCTCAAATATCCTACTAAACTTTGCACAATCATTTGTAATTATTTCAAGTTGGTCCCTTGATCTCCAGTTTTCCATTGTTCTCTATAGAACTTGCGACCTAGTAGAAGGGAAATTGATAGATGAGAGAAGTTGAGACCTGTATGTCATAGTAATGATGTGACAGTGGCTAATTTTCATGCAAACAGAAGAAAGTCATGCTATTTCTTTTTCTCCAAAATGATCATTGCATTGCCTTCAAGGTTAAAGCACCATTGTTCACTAAGATTGCAACAAAATTTGTTAGGTTAATCAGAGAAGGGGACACAGCAAGTGTGATAGGCATCCTGAAGAAACACCATGCCTGTGACATCGTCGATGCACCAAACGGTGTGATCACGACCGGTTGCCAGCTGATCCGCTGCATGTTTCCTGTCTTCATTGAGGGGCTCATACTGATTGGGGATGAAGACCCTGACGAGGCTGTATATATGGTCTGAACTATATAGATACATAAATACATACACTAATGTAGAATACACGCCCTGTCTATCGTGGAAGAGGAGTTTTAGTATCTTCCACTAAGGGTTTCTGATAAAAAAAGATTTAAGACTTATGTAGTTGATGGAAACGGAATGACGATGTAAATTAAAGTTGTATTTCTAGCTTGTCAGTAGCATAGCTGTGCTGTTTTTTTTGCTTCTTTTGAAGAGGACTGCTCATTTGTTTGTTGGCCAAGGCTTGATGTTAATGTACCACGCTTCTTTTGAAGTTTGGCCTGCTCAGTTCCTTTTTTTCATTCTTGCAACAATAGAAAGGGACTTGGTCCAAATTTTCATATGGGTCCTATTGTTTAAATGAGATTTCTCATCATACGAAAGTAACTAGCAAGGTTCTTAAAAAGAAAATTAGTAACTAGCAAGGTAGCCTGCGTAAAATTAGTTTTTATTATAACATTTGGATTCATCTTACTTGAAACTAACTTTTCTAGATATTTTTTTATTGTATGGATCCATGTGGCTTTTGTTAATCAATTTCTCGGGGGCTATACTCATCGGGTACGCTCATCGCGTACCCTCCCCATTGGGCTCAGCGAAGGGCTCAGGGGCTCCCTAGAACCCCAGGCTCCCGATCGATGGCAGCCCGAGCCTACTCCCCGAACTCGGCCTCAACCCGGGCAGGAATCCTATGCCCCGATGTAGGGTCAAGATGGCGGACTAGAAGGGGGTGAATAGTCCTTTCTTAAAACTTAATCGCGCCGGCTAACCGAAACAAATGCGGAATTAAAACTATCGATCTAGCCAAGATTACACGCCTCTATCGAAGTTCACAAGCACCTTATAAAGATTCTAAATAGGCAACAAAGGTGCCGAGCTAGCTAGAGCTTACTTATCCAATTCTATGAGCAATGTCACACAAACCTATGCCACTAGTATTTTGCACACTGGGGAGCTCCTACACAATTCTAGTAAGCAAAAGCACAAAGCTTCTAAGCTCTCTAGCAATGCTCAATAACAAGTCAACAAATACCAAATTAGAGAACACAAATACTTAGCTACACAAACAAAACAATGTGACTAACAAGGTTACATAAACCAAATTAGCCACGCAAGGGAGCTACCTCTATGCTACACAAGCAAGAAGGTAACTAGCAAACTGCACAAGCTAACTAATTATAAGAGTAACTACACAAGCTCAATGTATGTGAAAGTAATTACAAGCTTGTGTAACGGGATTACAAACCAACAGGAAGAACAATGTTGATACGGTGAATTTTCTTCCAAGGTTCACGTGCTTGCCAACACGCTACGTCCCCGTTGTGTCGACCGCTCACTTGGTGGTTCGACGGCTAATTGGCATCACCCGCCAAGCCCGCACATCGGACACCGCAAGAATCTACTCCGAAAGTGATGGTAGCTCAATGACACGCTCAACTAGAGTTGCTCTTTGCGGCTCCCGCGGGGCGAGCACAATGCCCCTCATAAAGCTCTTCTCCGGAGCACTGCACAAGCTTCTTGCGGGCTCCGACGGAGACCACCACCAAGCCATCTAGAAGGTGGCAACCTCCAAGAGTAATAAGCACCACTGGTTTGCAACTCGATCACCTAGTGCCACTCGATGCAACCTCACGATGCAATCACACTAGAATTGCTCACTCACTCGATTGGATGAACACTATCAAGCTCAAGTGAGTTAGAGGGCTCCCAAGCACTACCACATAAGCCACCAAGGCTCTAGTGTGCTCAACTCTACTAAGCTTATCGGCCAAAGACCGACTAACACTTCTATTTATAGCCCCATGGGATAAACTAGCCATTACCCCTTCGTTGGGCATCTTTTGGGCTGACCGGACACGCCGGTCAGATCGATCGGACACACCCTGCCAGTGTCCGGTCAACAGATGGCTGCCACATCATCCCTGGCTTCAAATACTGAGCGCCCAATCTCAAAGGTTAAGTTGTGACCGGACGCACCGCGAGGATGACCGGACGCTGCTACGCTTGAGTCTGGTCGTTTCCAGAGAGCTCCCTGAGCCTCTGTTTTGCGATCGAACGCGTCCGGTGCTTCACAACCGGATGCAGACCAGCGTCCGTTTGCGCTACACCGTCCACGTGTCGCTCTACGCTCAACCAGAGCCGCCCAATCTCAATGGTAACTTCGTGCGCCAACAGTCACACGACGACCGGACGCAGCAGAGTGTGGATGACCGGACGCTGTAACGCTTGAGTCTGGTCGTTTCCAGAGAGCTCCCCGTGCCTCTGTTTTGTGGCCGGACATGTCCGATCAGCTCTGCGCCTGCGCACCAACTCCAGTGCCGCCTATGTCAGCGTACGTCAGTCTAACCGGACGCAGGCCCTGCGCGTCCGATCGCTCTTTGCGCCAACGTCCGATCACATGACCGAGACCGCACGCTCTCTGCTTTCACTGACCGGACGTGTCGGTCCTGCCGAGGCCAGTGTCCGGTCACTCACAGTGACACCTTATCACCTCCGTTTCTTCACCAAGTTGATCATCATCAACTCCAACTTCTTCTCCTTTGCAAATGTGCCAACACCACCAAGTGTTCTCCACCATGTGTATGTGTGTTAGCTTTTCACAAACATTTTCCAAAGGATTAGCCACTCAACTTGCCACGCCACTCGATCCTAGCGACGATGCAAAGTTAGATCACTCGAGTGGCACTAGATGACCGATATGCAAACAAGTTTGCCCCTCTTGATAGTACGGCCATCTATCCTAAACCCGGTCATCAACTTCTCTACACACCTTTGACCAGTGAAATGAAATGCCCTAGGTTATACCTTTGTCTTATGCATTCCATTCCATCTCCAATATCGATGCAACACATGCACCAACACAATCAATAATGATATGATCCACTTCATATCATCACATGATCATATTGGTTCATCAATCTTGACTTCACTTGCTTTTCACCATTGCCTTCGTCCATTGGCGCCAAGTCTTGCTCAAGCTTCACCGCCACGTGGTCCATCACTCAAAAGCCTTCAACTTGCCCTTCACGCTTGCAACCGGTCCATCAAGCCAAGTCATATCTTGATCTTCTCCACCTTGATCACATGACTCAATGTCATGTCTCATGTGCAATGAGCTCCTACATCATCACATGTGTGAGCTTTGCAACATCTCTGAGCCATTTCCACCTTCATGGCATATGTTGCTCACACACATGTACCTATGGACTAATCACCTGTGTATCTCACATAAACACAATTAGTCCACCTAGGTTGTCTCTCAATTACCAAAACCACACAAGGACCTTTCAATCTCCCCCTTTTTGGTAATTGATGACAACTCTACAAAGATATGGAAATTAAGCTCTTTTGGATTTATGTTGCTTGCCCAAGCAATTTTACCATGTGTAAATGATTTTGGACAAGTACCACAAACCCTAATTGGTAGTATTAGCTCCCCCTACATATGTGCTAAGAGTTTTTGGTTTGAGGCTCGCACATATGCATAGATTGGTATTATGGGGGAGTAATTACTACCAAATGATGCTAAGGTGTATAGAGTAAACCTTTGAAGCGTGATACCAATCGGAGTTGCACCTTTAAGTTCATCCTTAGCACCATGGTTAGCTAGATATCACTTGGAAATAAAAGCACTAGATACCTTGTGAGATCAACATTAAAAGCAAGGTACTAGCATTACTTGAAAAGCAGACCAAGTGTCTAGCTATCATCCTATGCATGCTAGTTTTCATACCATCAATCAAATTCTACAACTAGCATACACCACACAAGCATGCATATTGAATTTAAACGCTTATGCAATGTAAGCAAGCACATGACTATGAACATTTCAAATGCAACTAATCAAAGTTCATGAGCTTGCTCCCCTACTTGTGTGCTTCTCTTGTCCAAGAAGTTTGATCCTTCTTAATTCCTCAATATTGCTCCCTCTTTGTCCATGTCCATTTCTAACCTCTACTTCTGTGTCCCAATCTCTCCCAAAGCTTTCATATCTTTGTACAATCTCTCCTCCTTTGTCATCAATTTCCATAAAAAGGCGTGCTTCTCATTGATGCAAAGGTTTGCAATTGGGGTAGATGGTTGAGACTTGAATCTTGCATTTTTTATGGACATCACTTGATTGTTAGAATGACACCACTTGTAGCCCTTGAGATACCACACATAGGATCTTCGACCTTGATACCAATTTGTGGGAAACCTCCCCCTATATCATAGCATGGGTCATTCATTTGATAAACTTGAACTCTTATAGGTGAGGGATTCATTCTTCATTTGATGATCACTTAAAGTTGAGGATCACTTGTGGAACCATCGTCTTGCATGATTGATATCACGTGTAGATGTGATACCACTTTGAAAGAATTTTCTATCATGGAATCACTTGTTGGATTTATCAATAAAAACCATTTTTTGAACCTTTGCTATCTTCATGAGTACCACTTATAGGATATCACTTGTGAGTTGATCTAGACATCACTTGTGAATACTTGATGAAATACTTGAGTCTAGATACCACTTGAAACAAACAAACTAGATATCCATTTGTATTGTTGTCTTGTGCTTGTACTCTTATCACTTATCATGAGCTTCTAAGTTGACTTGAACTAAAATGATTTGCCTAAGCTTCCAAGTCCGATTTGAACGAATGACAAGCTTCTTCACACCTCTTGCAAGGGTTATCTTGCCAATGTTGCACTTGTCACTTGTTGGTAATCCAAATTAAATCAAGTACTTGGGTTCACTAGCTTATGAACAAATTCATATACTAACCACTAGATCAACTAATCACTTAAGCAATGGTGGTAGGCTATGAATTTAAACATTTCATTTGTTATGCATGATCCTATGAAGCATGTACTATATGCACTAATCGCGTACTAGTAAGAAATGAAATGATCATGTATATTACAATGATACCTTTGCTATGTTGGAGTAGAGGATAGTCACATAGATTCCAATTTATTACTCTAACAGCAATGTGAAGTCCAATTATAAACTTGGTG